CCGCAAAGAGCAGAGATTTCTGCTGCATGGGGAGATGCAGAGGCAGACACCCAGAGCGGTGCTGAGCCTGTCTCCACACTGTGCAGGTGGGAAACCCTCTGTGGTCTCTGTGCCAGGAGGAGCTGGCCCTTCAGCTCCCCATCTGCAGAGGGCTGAAAGCATCAGTGATGAGATCCGTGGAGCTGAAGGTGTCCATAAAGATGCAGCCAAGAGAGGTCCAGGGCACAGAACAGGACGTCTCATGCACTTAAGGGACAATACTGGCCAGGCTTGGCAGATCCCCACCGTTATTTTTATGGGTTGTTACAGATTTTCTGGACGCTGCTCCACTCCTTGCAGCATTTTGCAGCCTCCTGCAGGGAGGGCACAGGAGCCCTTCTATTTGATGTGATCCCTGCATTTTGCCCCATTTTTGCCCTCAGATGGCCCTCATACGAAGCCCCATCCAACACGAAGCGGCACTCGGAGGGCACCTTCACCAGCGACTTCACACGCTACCTGGACAGGATGAAGGCCAAGGACTTTGTGCATTGGCTCATCAACACCAAACGATACAGGTAGAGGGGAGAGGGGAGCAGGATGATGCAGGGAAACACCCCAGTGCAAAAGGACAACAGTAATAGAATCATAGAATCATGGAATCATTAAGGTTGGATAAGAACTCTAAGATTACCCAGCTCAACCAGCCACCTACCACCAACACTGCTCCCTAAACCACAGCTCTAAACAGAGTAGTAGAATCAGTGAGATTGGAAAAGACCTCGAAGGTCATCCAGCCCAACCTCAACCCGTTCCACCATCCCCAGGTGCCACATCTCCATGGTTCATGAGCACCTCTGAGGATGGGGACTCCACCACCTCCCTGGGCAGCCTGTGCCAGTGCATCACCACTCTTTTGAAGAAAAAATGTCTCCTAATGCCCAACCCAAACCTCTCCTGATGCAACATGAGGCCAATAATTATCTCTGCTTTTACTGATGTCATTCTCGCAGCAGCCCGTATTTTAAATTTTGCCCATGACCAAAAAAGCAAACTTCAAAGTGCTGAAACCCAACAAATACCAGCCACGTTGGATACAGTTGGATTTCTGGATTCTCCTCCTTCATCCCATTTCCAGAGGCAATGAAAAGCATTTTATGAAGTCCCCAGCACATTCTCATTGGAGCATCCTGGTGTTGTGGCTGCTATGGCTGTTGTCTTATTTCCACAGCTCCACCAAGAGGTACATGAGGGAGCAGCCCCGCAGCGTCCCCTTCCTGGCCGTGCTGCCAGCAGCGTAAGTCATCCAACCCCAAAAAAGATCGTTTCAAAATGCATCCACACACTGGGTGCAAAACTTCCCAACACCACCTCTTCCTTTTGCTCTCGTGTGGGTTTTATCCAGTGCTTATTGGCAATAGAGGACAATGAGGAAAGTGAAGCAGCTTTCGGGGTGGCGGGGGGGAGGGGGGTTAAATAGTTTATGAAATCAAAGAATGATAGAATCATTAAGGTCAGAAAAGACCATCAAGATCATATAACCATCCATGCAGCCCAACCATCAACAACGGGGCAGAAGCAGTTTTGCACTGAGCTGTGCTCAGCCATTTTCACTTTGTGTGTGGGAGAGTTTCTGTTCTGTTAAACTGTTTGGTGCTCAGTTCCTTCCTTCCTTCCTTCCTTCCTTCCTTCCTTCCTTCCTTCCTTCCTTCCTTCCTTCCG